AGAGCAGAAGGGATGGAAGGGAAGGAGAGAGAAAGAAGAGATAGGGGAAAGGTAGTGGTTTGAAGGAAAGAGGAAGAAAAGAGAAGGGAGAAAGATATTTGAGCCTTTAAAAAGAAGCAGTTTGCATTAGAATAATAGAAAAATGCCTGGTCTACAAAGTGAGTTCCAGGATAGCCAGGGCTACACAGAGAAACCTTATCTCGAAAAACCAAGCACCAAAATAAATAAATTAATATAAAAAATAAAAATATTTTTAAAAAGCTGGGTGATGAGATAGCACAGTGGGTAAGGGCGCTTGCTACATGACAAGAGTTTGGTCCCCGGAACCCACACAGAGGAAGGAAAAGGGAAGTCACACAAGTTGTTCTCTGACCTCCATATGTGCCACTGCCTCAAACACACATCATGCACACAAGCACAAATAAGGACACAAATAAGTAAAAGGTTTTTAATTAATGTTTTAATTAGAAAGAGTACTAAGGGGAAGTACTGAGGTGATGGGCCATTTGGCACAGTGCTTGACACAGAAACAAGAAGACCTGAGTTTGACCCACAGCATCCACGCAAAAAAGCCAAGTAATCGCAGCACTGAAGTTGAGACAGGAGGATCCCTGAGGACTGATGGGTAGGTTTAGTGAGAGACCCTATCCCCAAAATAAGATGGAGAGCAATTGGGGAAGTTGGGGAAGATACAGAACATCAACCTCTGGCCTGCACGCACGCACGCACACACACACACACACACACACACACACACACACCCTGGGGAACCAATGCTCACACTTGCTATGGAAATGTTTTCCTACTCTCTGCCATCCTTGCACTACAAGGCAGGGCCTGCCATGGTACAAGCCCCTCACCCCATAGTTGACAGCAGAAGTTGGCCGCCACCCTCATGATGCTGATTAATTTGTGTTTAGTTCCGTTTAGGGCTTTCTGAGACAGGGGCTGAAGTGTATCTCAAACTTGCGAGGCAACTCTGGTTGCTCTTGAACTCCTAACCTTCCCACCACCACCTCCCCACAAAAGCACTGCGTTTACATGCCTGTGCCATCACCTGGTTTCTATCCAAATTTCAGAAGATGCCAGGACCCCTAACAGGCAACCCTTGAGAGGGCAACAGGTGAAGCTGTGAGAGTAACCTTGAAAAGTCTGTGGTGATCCCAGGAAGCTAAAGATGCCTGGGTAATGGGAACATTTGCTAAGGAAAGCTTCAGCCAGCCAACAAGGCCAGCCCAAGAAAGGGGTCACGGGGGCAGGGCTTTCCAGGTTCTTTGGATGTTACATTATGATGCCACATGACCGAGACACCAGACATAAAGCTACAGAATGTAATATTCATCCTACTGGGTTTTCAGCCTTGCTTTAGTCCCTCCTTTCTATATCTTCATTCCTTCCTTGAGGAATGAGAATGGTTTATTCTGTATTACTACTGCTTTAGAATTCTGCAACTGTTTTTAATTTTAAAAATTCCATTCATCAATTAATTGTGTGTATGTGTTTGTGCAGCAAACGAGAGGGGAAGACTTCTGAGATCTTGGCTAGGACATCCTGTAAAGAACTGCTAACTTTTGCACTTATTTCTGTAGGTGGCTGAGAACAGCTGGCTGACTGTGTGTCAAGAGGTAGGCATTTCACGTGCATCAGCTAACAGTTGTACTGCAAGACTTTTATCTCCATTCTAGAGGTCAAATACCAGGCTCTGAGGGGTCAGGTGAATGGGTCAGTATCTAAGTGCTAAAGGCTAAACTTTGCCAAGATAGAGCCAATCTCTAGCTGAAATGGGAAAAAAATTGGGTGAGAACAAGGATAGTCTAGCTTAACCAATCGAGGAAGAAACCAATACATGCTGTGCGGACTCCACATCTGGGCTCTTCACACTCGCATCCAGTTCATAGGGAGGCACCAAATGCTTATATGGCTCTAACAGCTGTTTCTTTGTGTAGCCTTTCAGCATGCTTTACCAGGAAGAAAACAAAGGCACTGATCCAAGAAGTACAGGCTCACCTAAACCATTCACCTTTGCACATTCTAGGAAAGCAGCGAAACTATCAGCTCAGTTGTCTGGGACCTTGCTGCCTCTAAGAGCCATTACACTGCCCCATTCTTTCTGTGCTAGGTTGATGCCCAGGGTATAACTAACTACTGGTGCTAGCAATGGCTCCATTTTATAGCGAAGCAACTTGGGCCAGTGGAAATGGGTTGGGGTTACAAGAAAACCTCACCTCGACTTGCTGTGTGGCCTGTCTCCTCTGTAAAGGAAAGACAGCTATTTGTTAGTTAATATCCTAAGTATATACGCAGAGCTCATAGAAAGTATCTGGACCTGGGTCTTCTTGGCTCAAGTCACCTCCCTGCTATCAAGAACAAAAATATGGCCACTCATTGTATAGAGGGTCAGTAGCAGGGGTTTCAAGGCAAAACCAGGCCAGTCACAGCAAGAGTGACAGAGGCCACACGCTTTCCACATAGTCAAACTCTAGAAAGAAGATAAGAGAACTAACTTGCTGAATACCTACACCATCCGAGGTGCTTGCCATTGATCACTTCATGCAGTTATCACAATTCCATGTAGCTATAACTAGCCTCGCAGAAATGAAGAAGATACTCTTTTTCCAAAGAAAGGAAGAGAGAGAGAGAGAGAGAAAGAGAGAGAGAGAGAGAGTCTTTTTCTTTTGGTTTTTCAAGACAGGGTTTCTCTGTAGCTTTGGAAGCCTGTTCTAGAACTCTGGTTCTGTAAACCAGGCTGGCCTTGAACTCACAGAGATCTGCGTGCCTCCTCTACCTCCTGATTGCTGGGATTAAAATCATGTACCACCACCACCCGGTTTATTTTATTTCCACTTATGCATATGTGTGTATCCATATATAAATATAAACAAGTGAGTGTGTCGGATCCCCCCCCCAAATTGTGGAGTTACAGACAGTTATGAGCCACCATTTGGGTGCTGGGAATCAAACTCCAGTCCTTTGCAAGAATAGGAAGTACTTTTAATCTCCGAGCCTTTTCTCCACCCTGAATATTTTATTAAAGAGACACTTGTGTCTCTCAATCTAACTATCAGATTATTTAAACAATGTGCCTCAAAGAAAGGGAATTTTTCCAGGAATCTCATGCCAGAACTTGTCTCCAGGAAAGAGGTTTTCCCCAGTTCTAACCACCTTACAGGAAGAGACTGAAGCCCAGACAAGGAAGGGTCAATGGTGGCTGGAACCACACCTTGACCTGGACTGTTTTGTGCCTATCCATGTTCCTATTTAAAACTTTGACCTCCCTTCAGGACCCTGAAGATAGACTTGGCGGGGGGGGGGGGGGGGTAGTGGGGGGGGGGAAGGTGTCTCTTTATCCCTCTTTGTAATATGGTCACACCGAATAAATCTCTTTTTCATTCTGCTTTCCACTTTTAATTTGGCTGTTTTAATTGGCTTAATGAAGACAAGTGGCTGAACCTGACTTGGGGCACAGGTTGTGACCACCAAGTTCGATAGCATAACAATGTATGGTCATCCCAAATTGTAAACTGAAGTGACAAAGACTCGGATCATTCTCTGAAACTCTTGTGCCTAAGGGAAAACCTCAGGATGTGTACCAGTTCAATGCCAAAGTCCACACCCCTGCCACTGTCGTGCAGACAGAAAACCTACCCTCATCTACCCCCCCCACCCAACTGCAGCATTTTGCGTGCCCAGTTGTCTGAACTACGATTAGCACATCACCTCCCCGAACTAGTACCTCTCTCCATGGGCTCTACAGTGGGGAAGGGGGCATAAGTAGGAAGCAGAAGCCAGAGGTGAGCACAAGGTCTTTTATGAGGCATCAAATATACATTCTTATATACAAGGAGGGAAAAAGACAATGCCTGAATCCCCGCTCCGCTCCTCTCCATATAGTCCCTCCCACCAATGCCCTCCCACAACCTGAAGCCCCAGGGACCCTTTGACATAGAGGGTCCATCTGTCTGTCTGTACTGCAGCCCATACTTGACAGGGGAGAGGAAGGCAGGGACTGTGAAAGGAGCTGCTGGATGTGTAGGGCAAGAAGAGGAGCTGGGACTTGTAAAAAATATATTTATAATAAATAAACAGGACTGCAGAGGGGCTGGCGAGGCAGTGGAGTTTTGATGAACAAGAGGGGCTTGGGCATTCTGGCTCGCAGCCCCAGCTCTGATGGCTTCAATCTCTGCCTCAGGAAGGACATCTTGGTGGTCCTCTGGGAGTCTTTCCCCAGGGCTGATGCTGGGTGCCCTGCCCCAGTGAGATATGTGTGGGTGATATCTGTAAAGTGCATTGTCTTCAGTTGTAGGTGGGAAAAGAAGAAGGAATGGGGGGGGCATGCAATATGAGTGAGGGAGGGCAGTACCCTTCTCATCCCAGACCTGAGCCCCCCCCTCCACAAAAAACCTGTCTGGACTTTGATCAGGATAAGAACATTGCAGGGCAAGGCAAATTCCTGAAGCCAAAGAGGTCTGGGCTGTGGCCTATTAGGAGGGCACACACAGACTGGCTCAAGAGAGGGAAGCCAGTGCCCTCGGTGGGGGCCAGCACAAGCGGGGTTCCACCCACAGAGTACATGGACAGTCTGTGTCCTCCAGCAGGCAGAAAGACACATGGAGGTGTGTGGCTAGGCCCTGAGGTTCAGCCACAGCTCTACAGAGCTCTCTCCTAGCCTCACACAGCCAGAGGAGCTCTGGGGAAGCCTTCACCCCCACGGCTCCAGAAGCCTGCCTTCTCCACCAGCTTGTAAGGACGCTCCCATCTGCCCCAGAGGTCTGAGACCACCAACTAGGCCTCCAGGGACCAGAAAGAGAAGAGAGGAAGATAGGAAAGGGAGGACAAGGACTAAGGAGAGGCCCTTACCACTTGCCAGCACTGCAGTGCCCTAAGTTCAGGCTACAAGTGGCAAGGGCCCTCCAATCTGAAAGGAAACCCCATGACAAGTGCTAGGGGTTAGAAGAAGGGGCTGGAGAGATGGAGGAAGTGGAAAGAAGGATGCTGCTGAGTGTATATATATTTTGAAAAAACTGAGGAAGAAGAGAGGGGCAAGGTCCCTCTCCTGTGGACTTCCCCAGACTATCTGTTCCCCAGTACACTCATTCCATTCCTCAAACCACAGTGCTGATCCGGCTTGGCTTGGCCTTGGGGTTTGCACTGGGTGGATTAGCCGTGCCAGGGGGCCCAGAGGCGTGCAGTGGGCCATGGGGGGAGGTGGGTGGGAGGGGTGAATGTGGGGTGTGAGGGGAAGGTGGGGGCAGGGGCGGGTAGGAGGGGTGAGGGGGGATGGGTGAGTGTGGTGACAGTGGTGACTGGGGGTGGTGAGGGTGGGAGTAGGATCCCCCTGGTGGCCGGGACCCAGGGCCCCCAGCTGCACCTGCTGCTGGCATCATCTGTGGGTGGTGACTGAAGATGAAGTGCTTAGGGCCCTGTTTATGGGCAGGCGGGTGCTATGGAGCAGGACTGTACAGGGGTAATGGGGATGTGGGCTGGTGCAAGGGGTGGCGGCCATGTGGAGCAAACTGAGGGTGTCCTCCAGCCCCTCGTCTTGGGGCTCTGCCTGGCCGGCCCAAGGTATAATGCTGGGGTCCTGGAACTGGGCCATGGGCATGGAAGTGTCGATGTGGCCCCACAGGTGGGGCTGAGGCAGGTGGTGGTGGAATGGAGCCCAGTGTGGGCAGGGGTGGAGGCTGCTGAGGGGGTGGAGGCAGAGGGGGTTGCTGGGATGGGAGGTAGGGTGGTGGGGCAGGGCCCGGTCCTTGGCAATACTGGGCATGCAGGGCCTGAAGCTTGGACTGCCCATCAGGTAGCACCCCCATGCCACCATGGCTGTGACCATGGTGGTGGTGGTGATGGTGGTGGTGGGTGGAGGAAGCGGATGAAGACGAGGCAGAGGCCTGGCCTGTTGGCGGTGGTGGCATCTGGAAGGGCCCTTTGCCTCTCTTGCTTCCAAATAGGGAGCCCAGGAAAGATGAGGAGTTCGAGACTGGCCTCTGGCTCTTGTACTCCTCTGGCGGCGGGGGTGGGGGCGGAGGTGGCATCCTCTGGTGAGGGCGTGGACTGCTAATAACAGACCCCTGAAACGGGGGAGGGAGGGAAGTCAGGCCAGTCTACATATCTAAACCCCCAGCCCTAAACTCCACCCCTGTCCCTGAAGCTGGAGCAACAAGGACCCCCAAAGTAACAGCAAAAACCAAACAGCAGTCCTGTATTTGTGGCCAGCTCTGCGGACACATCCACTACCTCAGTTGAATCTCAGAGGGCAGAGGAAGAATCAGTAGGACCTCCTTCTCATGACCATTTCTCAGGCCAAGAAAATGTTAGGCCTAGAGAGGCAGAGTGACTCGCTCAGGGTCAAAGAGCAGGATTTGGAGGTTAAAGTTTCTCGAGGCCCAAGTCCAAGGGCATCCCTATTTGGAGTTGGCCCTGGGGTTAAGAAGGGACATGGGAGAGTGGAAGACAGACTGAGAGACAGGCAGAGTGAGGACAGAGTGAGGACAGATGGAGAAAGTGGTTGGCTGGGAGAGGCAGCCATATGGTACCCAGCACGGAAGAGGGGTAGGCAACAGGTCCCCTCCTCCTCTGGGGCTCCATGGCCAGGGCAGGGCTCATGCAGAAAATGAGTGGGGCAGGAGCTGACACTTACTTCGATGGTGCTGTCCAGCGATCCCACGCTGTTATGCCGCCCCCGCTTCCCTGCACCCACAAGCAAGGAGCCCAGCGTCAGAGCAGCAACCCTCCCTCCCCACCCTGCTGGGCTCCAGAGCTGGGCACCAGGCCTAGGTCCCTCCCAGGGACAGACACCCCATTACCCCTTTCCCCCATTAAAGAGGAAGAGAGGTTGAGAAGGAGGAAAGAGAGGAGGAAAATATGGAGGAGAGGCAGTAAAGGAGAGACAGAAGAGGGAAAAGAGGAGAGGGGCAGAGTCTGTGGCCCCACTTTATACTCCCTGGCAGAAACCCTGGGCCCCACCTGTTCTGACCTGGCTACCAGGCCCCCTGTGACATAGTGCCCAGGGCTCTGAATGAAGGCTGTGTGTGTGTGTGTGTGTGTGTGTGTGTGTGTGTGTGTGTGTGTGTGTGATGGAGGAAGGCCAGTGACAGGAGGCAAAGAGGACACCTGGTCCCACATCTCCCCAACCAGGGAAGGGGCCCAAAACACTTACCTGCATCAGAGAGGTCTCGCAGGGAACTACTGAGTGCACCCCGCTTGAGCCCATCGCCTGCCCCATAAGTGTCCTCCAGACTACTGCGGGCCAGAGTCCCATTCACTGAGTCCTTGGCTCCTCCAGGCTGTGAGGCATTAGGTCGCATCATACCTTTCTGCTTCTCCAGCTCCGCTGGGTAGCAGTGGAGAAAATGGGAAAAGGTCAGGAATAACATTGAGAACCCACCTGATTGACTGGCAGCCCACCTCGGTTTTCCTCCCTCCTTCTGCTCCCCAAGCTTTCTACCTTACCCCCATCCCCGTAGTACTTTTCCCCTCTAAACTACAACTCTATCTTCAAAGCTCCTTAGGTGCCCAGCCCATCCTATGCCACTGAACCCTTCTTTTGCTTTCCTCCCTATAAGTGCCCCCTCTTCTTGTTTCCTCTCCCTCTTCTTGTCCGTCATTTCTTTACCCTGTTGTAGATAGGCCTCCCTAAACACCCCTGCCCTTTAAACAAGAGCTTTGCAACAGATGGTTCACAGGAAGGATGGGAAGGCCCTTCTAGCCTATGGTGAAAGACAGTCCTTTCAATGTTCATGCAGTTCTCAAACGCCTTGCTTCATAGCAGAGAAGCTCTCGGAAGAGCAAGGGCACGAAACTGCCGGGAATCAAAGCCTTTATTATGTGCTAGGCAGAATGCTGGGGACAGCACATACCTGATCCCACTCATTCCACATTATGAGCATAGTCTACATTATGCAGGAGAACCTGAGAACTTGACAAGTTATAGAGTTTGCTCAGGGTTAGACAGTTGAAATCGGTGAAGCGAACATTCTAAAAGCAGGTCTATCTTGCTCTACTGCCCCCCTCCCCATACCTCCAATGAGGTCAGGAAAACTCCAGTCTAGTGGGCCTCTCCTTATCTTGATATGGCTAATCTCTTGCCTTACATCTCCCCAGCGGCTCCAGGTCTCTACTGAACTGATACTCTGCCTTGCTGGCTGCAGACCTATCAAGGTCTGTTTCTCTCTGCCTTCTTTCTCCTCAATGCCATGTTACTTAACTATGATTGCTTAGCTTGGAGAACAGAAACCTTGAAGGGCATCAAGAAGAATGAGATATAATCATTATTTTCTATAGCCCATGATCAAAATAACTTGGTGTAGGTCCTGGGTATTGAGCTGGACCTCAGTTTGGGAGCTGATATTGAGGAGAGGAGACAGGGAATGGTATTGTTGAACACCATGAATGCACTGGTCTCTCCTCTCTTCCTCTCCTTCAACTTCAACTTCTCCCTCTCTTCCCCTCTTCCACTTTCTCTCCCTCTCCTCTCATTGTGACAGAGACTCAATACATTGCCACAGCTGGCCTGGGAACTTGAAATCTTCCTGTTTCAGCCTTCCCAGTACTGAGATTACAGATGTGCAACCACTGTGTCTGGCTCTTTGCCAAACTCACTGAAGATTTCTTTTTCTTTTTCTTTTTTTTCTTTCTTTTTTGAGCTTATGTAGGAGTTTTGTTGAGATGAAGGGAGTGGGGAAAGGAAGGGAGAAGGAGAAATACAGAGAGAAAGAAGAAGAGGTAAGGACCAGCCTGTCTCTTTAGAAGAGCAGTGGGAAAGAACTGTGAAGATTTCTTTATTCCTGTTATCTGAACAAAGGGTTCAGAGGGCTGCGGAACTCACCCAAGTTTGCCCAGCTAACAAATAGCAGACATAAAGTATGAAGCTACAGTCCTAACTCTTATGCTCTGAGTCTCCCTTCAATAGAAGAAAAAATTGGCTCATGATGAGAGAGAGGATGGGTGTGGAGGTCCCGGCATAGACTCACAATGGCTGGAATAATAATCTGAGGTAAGGAAGTAATGACCTTCTTGTCTCTGAAAGTATTCAGGCAGAAGGTGAGAGGTTCCTGGAATGAAGGTAGGAAGGTTGGGCAAGCTAGCCCTTAACTCTGCGGTTGTCAGAAGACAGGATTCTTGGTGTCTGTGGGCACTGTATCATGACGGGAGAAGGAGTCATGCTGTAGCTACTCACATTCCACATGGTACTTCTCCATCTCTTGCACCTCAGCAATGGACTCCCGCAGGTCAGAGGTAAAGCGCAACCTGTCTTGGAGGCTAGGAGCATTGAAGATGATGAGGACTTTTCGTTCCCCTCCAGGTACCGCGGACAGTAACTTGATCCCAAACTGATAATCTGCGGCAATGGGAGGGGACAGGAGAAGCTGGGTATTTTTGTCAGGTTTGAAGCAAAGTGGCTAAGACTAGAAACTGAGAAATGATCCAACCCACTCCCTACTACTGCCAACCATCTGAGACAGAGTCGTGCTATTTGCCTAGTCTCAAATTCCTGGGCTCAAGTAACTTTTTTGTCTCTGCCTCTCAAATACTTCCCTACACATCACCCTGTACACTGTGGCAATTATTTCTGTAACACCCAACTCTGAAGTGCCTCAAGCATCTTCAGTGCTTTCCCTTTGTCCCCGAACTCCTGGTAGCCTTGGCAACCTTATACCAGACTCCAGGATGGAAAGGCAAACATAATTCTAAACTGCTTTCTAGAAACCTTTTCCTTTATCCCTCTGCCTCTCACAATGACTTCGCTCTCTTGAAAGACACTCAAGCATGCTCTTGTTCTCAGTTCAGCACTTCAAGCATGGGGTGGCTTCCACATCTGCTCACTAAGGAATATATAAAACATTGCTATTCCAGGTTCTCCAGGGGCCACACCCAAATCATACTCCATTCTAGTTTTCCTTCCATTCTTGGACAAGTAGATACTTTGGAGACTTTAAAGCAGTTGTAGAGGAGGACTTCAAAGGCTGGAAGCTCGTGTAGACGAAGGGTGAGCATGGGCTCTGATAAACCCTGGGATGCATGCTTGGGTTCAGAAGGGGACTCACATGAGTTCTGGAAGAGCTGCATGTGCATCTCCACCAGGGGAAAGGACTGACGGAAGCTGTAAGTCACCAAGATCTTCTTCTTCTGGAAAATTTTGGTGACCTTTGGCAAACAAGGGTGGGAAAAAGATAAGAGGCTGGGTTTAGGGTGGGGAATTTCCAAGTGATACCCATTTCTAGTAAGCACCTTCCGCACCCATTCCCTGTAACAGACATGCACACATGAGCACACATACCCACAAGGGAGAACTGAAACTTGAGGAAGAGAGAGGTGGGAGAAAACGCAAGTTTGTGACATTGTGAGCATATATAAACACCCGCAACTTTTAAAGGAACTAAATGAATGCTGGTCCCTCCAGGAAGCTCGTCGCAATACCTCACACAGACTTCTGTTTCCATCTTCTGAGCTTCCAGGGTGCAGGTTCTGGTCCTATACCTTTTCCCTTGTCAGACTCTATGGTAGTTCTGAATATGTGATTGCTCCCTGATGGCCTAGAGGGCAGGGGCTCTAGTTTTCAGGTTCTTTCACCTACCTCAACCTCCACCATCAAGAGCTAGTGCATAACAGCAACTCCTGCCTAGCCTATGAACAGACTTAAAGATCTCTCGCCAACCCAAAGTCTTTAGGCTTTCTGGATTTTACACTAACATAAGCTCAGATAATTTGCAAGTGACTATTTTATTTCATTTATTTTGTATGCTGGGAATGAAACTTGGAGCCAGACAAGTAACTCTACCACAAAACTATAGCCCCTTCCTCTACAAATGGCTCTTAAAACAAGCATTTGATTTTAGGTTGGTTACAGTGCACAATGATGTCAAACACTTTTTGGCAGGGATGTGGTGTGGTGTTTGAGATAAGGCCTCCATCACATAACCCAGTCTGACCTTAGCTTCCTGTTCCTTTTGCCTCCATATCCCAAATACTTTAGGTGACAGGGGTTTATCACCACACCATGTTATAAAACACATTTTAGGTCCTAGTGAGTCCCTGAGAACAAGGACTGAGTCTGATTTCTCTCCATGTGCTCAATAGCCAGCATAGAGCTCCATACACAGAGGGGCGTCAGTGCATGAAGGGCATCTAACAGTGACTCAGTACCTGTGTGGGCCAGGCACACCTCTTGACAATGTGATTGTCTCTAAACCCTCTTCTCTTTTGTAGGGCTGGGAATGGAACCGAGATCCTTGCATATGCTAAGCAAGCGCTCTACTACTAAACTGTGTTGCCAGGCACTGAGTTCTTAGTTCATCTTCTCAACAACTCCGGGAAATAAGGGTCAGCACTATTTCATGAAGCAAGCAACTAAGGTTTGGAAAGGATGTTGGAGGCAATTTGTCTAGAGTGGTAATTCTCAACTGGAGAGAGTACAGAACAACGTCTGGAGAAGAAGACACTGCCTTCTTTTCTTTTCTTCCCTGAAGAAGATGTTCTCTAAATCTCCCACCCATCTTTCTCTCTTTTGCTTTTCTCTGGAGAATACATTTTTTTTTGGTTGGAGGTTTGCTGTTAGCTTCTAGTAGCTATCCCAGAGTGGTGTTAAAATACTACAGTGCACAAGACAGACCCCTGAAAGAAAGGATTGTCTGCCTCAAAATATTAACAGTGCCAAGACTGAGAAACGCTGCTGTGAAGGAGAGAAGACCAAGGAAGGAACAGGGTTGCTGTTCTCAAATCCCTGGATTACTGTCTCAGAACAGAGGGGGGAATACTTATTGTGTTCCCAAGAAACGGTGAGGAACTTGAGTAGGAGGTGAACCCCATTAGGAGGCAAATTCTAGCCTGGTGTGGCGGTGCCCGTCTTTAATCCTAGCATTCCAGAGGCAGAGGCCAGTGGATTTCTGTGAGTGTGAGGCTAACCTGGTCTACATAGTGCATTCCAGGACAGTTAGAGCTGTACAGTGAGACCCTGTATTAGAAAAACAAAACAAAATAAAAACAAACCCACCCCCTCTCCCCCAAAAGCCCACAACGGATTCTAGCAGTCAGGGCTAAGCCATCTTGAAGAGTGGTTCTTGTCCAGGAAATCCTGAAAATCCCTTCAGATCCACAGAATCCAACAAATCCATCACTAAAAGATGTGGTGTGCCGCTGTACCAGTGACATGCTTGTTTTAATCACTTCCAGCATCAAGACAACAGAAAGGTCCGCAGGGCCGCAGATTCACAACCCTCTACTTCCTACTACCTCCCAGATTATAGGTCTATCATTTCCCCGCAATCCTCACATTGTCTGCCCTGGTGTGGCTGTCACCACAGCAAAATGAAAGAAAATTAGGGCCAGAGAAGGGCTGTGCCTTACTCGAGACCACGCAGATGGCATGCTGCAGCGTTCCAACCACACTCCACATAGCACGGTTGGCACCAGAGCCAACAGCTGTGCTGACTATCTCCCTCCCATTTCCTTCTGCCCAATGCCCATACCACAAGGAGGTCATTGAAGAGGAAAACCTCCCGCTGATGCAGCCCCAGTCTCTGGGGGCGGTTTGGATCTGGCACCTCATAGAGCTGGCAACAGCAAACCAGTCGACGGTGAGGAAGAGACAGGATCTGGATAGATGTGGAAAAATAGTTGTCAGCAAGGCCATCCCAGCAGTTTTAGGCCTCTGGCACCTTAACAAGACAGAATGTACACCTGATACATATCTGTCACCCTGACACAAAGAATATAAACAACGAAGTCCTTTAAGCTTTCCTGCCACCTTGTTTTTGTCCCAATAGCACCCTTTGTCTGAAAAGCTTTTCGTGTCCAGCTTTTTCAAATCACAATTCCAGGCCGGGCGATGGTGGCACACGCCTTTAATCCCAGCACTCGGGAGGCAGAGACAGGCGGATCTCTGTGAGTTCGAGACCAGCCTGGTCTACAGAGTTAGTTCCAGGACAGGCTCCAAAGCCACAGAGAAACCCTGTCTCAAAAAAAAAAAAAAAAAAACAAATCACAATTCCAAAGTTATTTTCCAAGAAGTCTTTCTAACTTCCCTTGCCTTAAAATGGCCTCTCCCTGATTTCTGTTCCTCTAAATTAGACCACGAGGCAGAAGCATTATGTGTCTTTGCCTTGGAACCTCACTAATCTCTGAGTGCCCCTAAAGACAGAAATTGTGTCTGATTCATATCTATGTCTCTAGATTTCAGTAAAAAAATCAAGGATAAGGCATCCATAAATGTTTGTTGGCCAAAATATCTGTTTTTTTTTTAGAAAATATTAGCTTGACTCTTCTTACTTGGGATGGGCAGACAAAACCATAGATGAGAAGAAAATACTTACACAGCACCTACTATGAACTTTGCAATATACTAGATGCATTTACATGGAGAATCTCCCATAATCTGTACCATGATCCCTAAGGAATATAATATCTTCCACTTCATTTTACAGGTAAGGGCAACCTGGGCCTGGAGGGGGGGGGAATAACCTACCACACAACACTGTCCCCTCCCCAGGCACTCACCGGTTTCTTGCCAACAATCATGCGCTCCACAGCCTGCACCTGGGACACATGGTCATCATTGGTCCGCAGTTCACGACCTTGGATGCGCTGGTAGATGCCTACCAGGAGGTCTCTGGGGATGTCTTCACCATTGTCAACCCCTACATGGAAAGTGTAACACAGGAGTATGTCACATCAATATGGAGGGTAGGCAGTAGGGGGATCTCCATAATATCCCACACCCAGCATGAACCGTAGCAAAAACAAAACAACAGAACAAACAAACAAAAAAAAAACCCAGTGAGTATTCTTAGTCTTTTAGCTATGAATGGGACAGGGAAGGTGCCTTTAAACAAAAGAGCCAATTACTTTTTTAGCCAGGGTAGGGATTTTGTCTAAACAACTTATAACACACTGCAATTAAGACAAGCAGGTACTACCTTTTACCTTCCATGGTTTTTGTTTTAAGATTTATTTATTGTTTTTTATGTATATGAGTGTTTTGTCTGTACGCATGCTTGTGTACCATGTTGGCCTGCTGTCTTCAGAGGTCAAAGGTGGGTATTGGATCCCCTGGAACTGCAGTTACAGACAGTTGTAAGCCACCATGTGGGTACTGGGAATTGCACTCGGGTCCTCTGAAAGAGCAGTCAGTACTTTTAACTGCTGAGCCATCACTCCAGCCATCCCCCACTCCCACCCTCCTCCTATCTGCCTCTACTTCCTAAGTGCTACGATTAAGTACGCTCTTAACTGGGACTATTACTTGAAAATAATATTCAGAGTTAGTAAGAATCTGAGGAATTTGGAGTGTACACTAATATAACAGTTTCAGAAACTAATCTAGCAAGAGCCTAAATATTCAAACCTATCAATTCTTTTCCAAAGAATCTATCCTAAGGAATTATTCAGAAATATATGTGAGATTGATGTTAAAGAATGTTCACCGAGTGCTATTTGTGGAGAAATTCAGAAACAGCTTAATTTCTAACAATAGAGAAATAGCTAAGTAAATAATAGTTTATCTATAAACTTGATGTTTACCAAAATATTTCAATAATATGAGACAATCCCTGTAGCAAGTTAAGTAAAAAGAGTAAGATAATAAACTACATGAGGAGCCAGGTGGTGGTAGTGCGCGCCTTTAATCTCAGCACTCGGAAGGCAGAGGATCTCTTGTGAGTTCGAGGCCAGCCTGGTCTACAAGAGCTAGTTCCAGGGCAGGCAACAAAGTGACACAGAGAAACTCTGTCTCTAAAACCCCCCCAAAAAAATTAAAAATAAAATAAACTACATGAGGACCAGAGAGATGACTGAGCAGGTAGGGATGCCTGCTGCTAAGTCTCATGGTTTGAGTTCCATCCCCAGAAGCCACATGGTGGAAGAAGAGAACAAACTCCTGAAAGCTGTCCTCTGACCTCCACATGAATACTGTGACATGTGTATACCCACATGTAACACACACACACACACAGACACACACACACACACCAATAAACAAATAAATGTAAGGAGAAAATAATTTTGGCAGTGGTGAGCACTAAACCCAGGGAGGGGCCTCATGAATATTAAGTACTGTTGCTGAAATATAGCCTCATGCCCCACATTCCTAAAATAGACATGTATTGCTTTCATTTGTTTGTTTGCTTATTTATTCAATAATTGGAGGAAATACATGGTTACACACACACCCACCCACATCATCCCTCCATATCCATGGGAGATTTGTCCCAAGATCTTCCATCAATTCCCAAATCCAAGGATGCTCATGTTTCATATATAAAATAGGACAGTCAAGTATGGTTGCTAAGTGGTAAGGTGTTAATTGATCTTGTTAAAATGGAGTGGTATTTTCATATAACCTATGTACATTCTCTTGTTAGTTTAAATAATTTGTATGTTACTTCAATATTTACTGCAATGCTAATGCTATGTAAACAGTGGTTTTACTGTATTATTTGGGGATAATGATAAGAAAAAGTTTATACATGTTCAGTACAGACACAAGTTTTTTTTCTAGATGTTCTCAGTCTACAGTTGGTTGAATTCATGGATGAAGAACCCACAGGTATGGAAGACTGACTGTATACATGGTGAGCATATGTATATGGTTGAATGAATAATGGCAAGATTATGGGAAACAGCTCTGGGTGCCCTCAAATCTAACTTGCTCTTCCTAAGTCCACTGTCTTTCTCCACTCTTGACTGTGTGCTGAGTGAAACCTTTTCACTCTTCTCTTTAAAGCTTCTGCTAGGAAAAAATGACTTCTTGTTTGGGAAATACCATACTTCTTCCTTGCACAAGTGCTAAAAGTACATTCTTCTCCCCACTGTTTTTTTTTATCTTAGCTGCCAGACAGCTTTAAAGCCTCCAGCAACATAAATTATGACAGTCAGCAACTTTGTCTTGCTCTCCCCATCTCTATTTCCCTCCTTTCATTGCTTTTGAAATAATCATAGTATCTGTGCCATTTTAGTAGGCTGCTCTTTGGTGAGAGCTAGGGCTTGACATCGTTACAATAAACCAAAAGCACAGATCAAAGTGGCATCATTTATCTGGCATTGGAAGACCTCAGAGACGGGATCCGCCTGACCTTCCCAAGTGTTCGTCTAGCCCATCTCAGTTGATCTCTAAACAACCTCACATTTTCTTCCGTCTGGGCCTTTGTTGTCTTCTCTGCCAGGTAAGCCCTCCTCTATTTTTAGTCTGTCATTTCAAGGCTCACCTTAAAATACAACTCCTCTGGGAAGTCAGTAGGAGGTAAGAGCTCCTTCCTTTGAATTCTGGTTGTCTTTTTGGCCTCTTTGACATCACTGTTCACTTTCTGTCTCATCGTGGTTATCTAGGCACTACATGGCAGTTTCTCCCTCACGATGGAAGAGCTCTCAGAACAGAGCCTATAGCAGACTCCCCTCCATTGTCCTTGGTACTCATTTTACTAGGTACTCATTAAACATCCAGTAAGTGTCAGCTGGCTGACCAACTGGATGAATGAATGAATAAATTAATGGAGGTAAAGGTATCTAAATGAGTCTTTATGGGTGTAAGTAGGAAAGACAAGGAGAGCGCTAATAAGGGTGAAGGACGTGAGTGAATAAAATAGTTTAATAAGAGTCAGGCTATCTGTATTTCTTTGTTTTCTGAGACAGAGTCATATTCTACAACCTGAGTCAATACCTAGGAAATAGCTGCTCGGAGAGTGGGTTTGTCTTTGCAGTTCTTGCACATGCTAGGTAAGCACTCAGTACTGAGCTACCCACACAGCCTGGCAAGTAACTGTTGGAGTGAATTGCTAAGTGAACAGCCTGGGGACATCCAGCCATGAGATAAAGTGACAAAGGCTAATTTACAATGACATCTGGGATCTCTCACCACACTCCCATCCCCACCCTAATTTCTTTTCTCTGGTGGCGGACAAGAAAAGTAAATGGGAAATTCTGCTCACCTCTCAGGTTCTTAATGAAGTCATCCAGTTTCATCTTGCGTTCAGCCTTGACGCTGGAGCTGTACATGTCGGTATTGAGGAGGATGATGGCAAAAGCAAGGATGAAGATGGTGTCTGGGTTCCGGAACTGGCGTACAAGGGCAGGGTTACAGACACAGTACCGCTGGCTGTGAGACAACAAGGGTCAAGTCTAGATGCAGGTGCCAGCAATCTCCACCTGCCCACAATTTGCCCAAGTTGCCATCATAATCCCTTTCCTTCAAGAAACACTCCCTTAGTACTTGAAGTCTGTCCTCTTCCATTTTCCCCAATAGTACCATGAAAAACCATAATCACTAACTTCTTGGAACTTTTCCAGGAGACTTAATGTACATTGTCCCATGCAGTTGATCACACCACTGCATGAATGCTAGTGCCCCATTTCTTTGGCTATGTAGCAATGGAGGTTGAACCTTGGGCCTTGAGCATGCTAAGCATTTGCTCTATCACTAAACCACACCTCCAACTCCCAAGCAGTCCTGTTTTACACAGGATATAATGAAGGTTCAGAGTGGTGAGGTAACTCAGCCAGGCAATAGAGCCAGTGAGTGGTAAAGCTGGGATGAAACAGATCATCTGTCAAAGCAAATCTTTCGCCCATAATGGAAAATGAGTTCTCAGCAATTCCTCCGTCTCCCCTGTAAATGCTCCAAAGCAGTGGAGCAAGATTTAGACCCAGCTCAGTTTGATCTTCAAAGCATTTAGGGCTGAGTATAGATACCACGACTTTAGAAACATGCAAGTTCAAATCCTGGTTCAGCTAACTTACTCTAATGTCCCTAAACTTGAGATTTGTCATCTACAAAACAGAAATACCAATAGAAGAATCTACCTCATAGAATGGTAGCCCCTCCCCCCCTTTTTTTTCAGTACAGGACACAGAAACCAAAGACTCATAGCCATGCAACAGGCAAATGCTCGATCACTGATCTACACACCCAGATCCACGAATGTTACCATTTACTACTGATGTTGCACTTATTAATGTGCCTGTATCTCAATTGCTAGAGCTAGATACTTTAATATATATCAGAGCTATATTCACTATCTCCAAACCTTACAAATGCCTCTCAAGATGAGATTTATCATTTCTGGATTTTTGCTTATTTGGTTAGTTTTTGTTTTGGTTTGCTTCTTTGAGATAGGGTTTTTCTATGTATCCCTGGCTGTCCTGAAACTCACTCTGTAGACCAGGCTGGCCTTGAACTCAGAGATCCTCCTGTCTCTTCCCTCTCCACACCTGACCTTCATTTCTGTTTAGTGGAAGAAAATTAAAATGCAGAGAAGCATCTTGTGGAAATAGGGCCCCAAAGAAGAAAAGGGCAGCTTCAGGAGTGGGAAGCAGGCACACCTGAAAGCTTCAATGAGTCGCTCCACTTTCTGGGCCTCACCCTGAACTCGAATATGGGATTGGAACTTCCTGAGTGCATCATCCAGATCCATAGAGGAGAAGTCCATCTCGTCCACCACACAGCTGAAAAGTAAAGAGTCAGGGTGGGTGGTGGCACTCTTCATTTCTCTACGTAAACCACTGGCCCACCCACTTGCATAAGCAGCCCCGCACTCCCACTGACATGCTTCCAAACTCTGGACTGAGTGAAGCTGAAGTAAGAAAACTGAAGGCACATGGTCACTTAGAGTGCTTTCCATTAGTCTATTCGTTTCTGTGATGGGAAACTGAGGCCCAAAGCAAACTATTAGGTGAGTACGCCCTGTGGAGAGCCACTCTTAGAAGACTTTAGGAATAGGGTCAAGAGAGAGAAGACCCTTTAGGAGCAGAGGGGTATGGAAACAGGAAAATCTAGTCATCTTGTTTTAAAAAGTTTATCTGAGCAAAAAAGACAGACTGCCCCCTTTCTCCCTCCTGCCTTCCTTTTCCAGGAATCCCTAGCCTGCCTGCCCCATGTTGGGGTCCTCACTCCAACACATCTCTGTTGAACTGCTTCTGCCGGTTCCCCAGGAATTCCCCTATCATCTGCCGGCTCAGGCCTTTCCGCTCCAGGATGAAGTGAGCCACCCCCACAGGAGTGTCTGACAGGAAACCTCGCTCAATCAAATACTGGATACCCTTCTCTGGCTTCCTGCAAAAAGAGAAGAGGTAGGTCAGATAGTTGTTCCTCTAGAACTGCACCTGGTCCCATTTCTAGAACTAAGCAAGGCTTCAGAGAGCCAAGGGTCTATAATGTGGTCCAGCTCCTCTCGGGTACAGATAAAAACATCACAACATAAGAGTAAACTACTTTCCATCTCACAGAGATTCAAAATTCCAAGGTATCCATCCATCCTCACACCACTTTCCTCTTTTACTGGAGGCATACCACAGGTGGAGGAAAAGAAGCATCGAAATGAGAGCCTACTTTCGTCAGGATCATCCCAGCAACCGTCAGACTGTCTTGAGAAAAGGCCTGAGCTCTAGACCAAGACTGCTTCTCAGAACCCTCAGGACAGGGAAGAAGTGACGAGGTTACTTGTTCCGTGTCCTACATCCTACCCAGCCTCTGAGGCTTTTTCTACTGATGAGGTGCCTCCAATGTTTACAGAGACTGGGACCAAAACATCTGGGTTGGAATTATCCCACATGCAGAACCTGAATGTCTTTGGACTCCCATGAAACCAAAAATTGGAAGTTTGGACTTTGATGTCCCGGAGTTTCTGAATAATCACTTTCTGCATGACTTTGGACAGCCTCTTTTATTTCTCCAGGTCTCACTTCCTTATCTCTAAAATAAGAACACTCCTACCAGCCTTGCTGAGTTATTGTGAAAATTAAACATAGGTGGCAGTGTTTAACAGACTATAAAGATGAGAGGTATTACATCAAATGCCTTCCATTATATCTAATGTTGTCTAATTACATATTATGTTTTCTAATTATTTTCCAATCAAATGCCACACTCTTACCCCCATTCCTCAGCACCTGGCAGAGGACCAGGCACTCAGAAAGAGCTTAGTCACTGTTAGTCATTCCAGCCTGCTGCCAAATACACAACCCTACTTACAGAAAGATGAGAAAACCTGAAGCCCAAAAAAGGACCACAGGTTACCTAAGGCTAGACAGTGAGTGAACAGGCAGATTAGGGGTCTTAGTCTGGGGTTCTTTATATTCTAGATGGCCTCCCCTCTGGAAGGGGGATATAGGGATGATAACACCTGGAAGTCATTTTGGGGAAACATCTTGCCATCTTGCTCAAGATCATACAAACAGATACTGAAAGCACAGGACCCGAACATAGGCATGTGTGTGTGTGTGGGGGGGGGGGGTGTCTCTCTATTCGGTAACCTTGTTTTTCCCCCTTGGTTTCTTAGTTTGGTTAATTGTCTTTTGAGACAGGGTTTACTCTGTAGCCTAAACTGGCCTGGTGCTCCCAACAGAGACTAGGCTGTCTTCTAACTTACGGCAACCCCTTTGACTAAAGTCTACTGAGTGCTAAGATTTCCAGGCAACAGCTACTGTTCCCTTCTGCCAACCTTCTACTAGTCCTCATCCCTGGGCATCTGGGGAGAAATACCATTTCACCAGATGATAGGCTGGCATAACCAAGGTCACTGCTTGGAGCTAGGTCCTCAAACAAGGTGCCTAGACAGGATGGGAAGAGGCAAGGAGGCTAGAACTGAGAGCACATACTTATTGAAGAGGTTGAGGCCAATTCTGTAATGCCGCCTCTGTACCACATCATTGTTGAAGGCTGGCGAGTCCCAGCTGTGCCTTGTTTCCCTCTGGTAGGTCTGCTTGCACAGGCCACTGGCTGGAGGTTCCCTCAGGCTATCCCGGGACGAGGAGCCAGAGCTGCAGTTGATGGTCTCATTGGAGTTGCTGGAGCTCTCGAGGCTCTCATTGTCTCCACCGTCAGAGTTCTCACCTGCTGCCTCACACTTCCCCAACCTCCGACCCCCAGCCACACCACTGGGCCCAGTGCCACTATTGGGGGCTGGCGGCAGGGGCCCTGGTGGGGCTGGAGCTGGACCCTCAGGGGCAGGGTAGTGGCGGTGTGGGATTGGGGCCCTGCCTGGTGGCCCCTTATGCTTCAGGGTCCCATGGGGGCTGCAGCCATCAGCCTCATACACCAGCTGGCGGTGGACAGAGCCGCGATCTGAGCGGTCACTCAGGTCTACAGAACTGTCACTGGGAGGCTCAATGGTAAGGAGGGGAAGGTGTGCGGCCCGGAGCCGGAAATCCCGGCACTCCAAGCACCCAGGAGCCCTGCGAGTGCCTTCCTCACGGCTACCATCTTCCCGGGTCCCTGGTGGCATCGGTGGAGGAACTGGTGGGAGGGGAGCTGGTGCCCAGAACTCAGGGCGGCTCTGGGGTGGGGGCTCTGTGCTGGGCAGTCGCTCAGGTGATGGAGGAGGAACTGGGTCATCCAAGTAGAGGGGAAGGTCACTGAAGGAGGTGGCTGAGCTGTCCTCTTGATGTTCCTTTGGTTCCCGCTTTTCCATCTGGGTTGACCCTTGCTCCTCAGACATAGGCCCTGATGGGTGGCAGTTCAGGGCCTCATCGATGGATTCAGCCAGAGATTTAACCTGCACACAGTGAAAGGTGAAGAGGGAAAGGGAGGAAAGATAAAGGGAGGAATGGTACAAGGATCAGAGGAGAGAAGAAGAAAAGGAAAGGCATGGAAAGCTCCCTGGTGTGTCAGCTAAGAACACAGGTGCTTGGGTCCCCCCTTCCCCGCCCACAGGCTCTTTATTTTAAACTTTTAAAATATTTATTTATTTATTTATTTTGTGTGTATGTGTGTTTTGCCTGCATGTATGTCTGTATACCACATGTGTGCCTGGTGCCAGTGGAGACCAGAAAAGGGTATCAAATTCCCTGAAACTGGAGTTATACAGGGTCACGAATGACCATGTGGTGCTGGGAATCAAACCTGCCACCTCTCCAGCCACTTATTATTATTTCATATGTATGTATATTTTTATTGAAAATAAATTTATCTTCACACAATACATCTGATCACAGTTTCCCCTCACCAACTCCTCCCAGATCCTCCCTACCCACCCAACTCCATGCCTTCTTTCTCTCTTTAGAAAACCAAAAAACAAACAAACCAGAAAAATAATTTAAAAAAACAAAGAAAAAGCACAAGAAACACACACATGCCCAATCAAAGCCCATAAAAACACAAAATCAGAAACCATAATATACAAGCAAAAGACCAGTTAGACAAAAAAAAAAAGACCAAACAGAGCAATATGAGACAAGAAGTCTACAAAAATACTGTTGTGTTCATTGTGTGTTGTCCATCCCTTTATTTTGCAAAGAAACCCATAGGTTCTTAATAATTTACAAAATAACTCCCAGGAAGTCACTGTGAGTTCACAGGGCTAGGACTAACAATGACAAGATGCCTTTTTGGACACTTCAGTATGTCAATCTCATGTCAACCCAAGTTAAATACTACCTTCCCACTATTCAAGCCACACTCTTACCTCTGTCAATACCATCTCAACTCCCATGCAGGGAAAGCCCCAAATCTCAGCTTCCTCCCAGGGCTCTCTGTGTCAATATCTCTTAGGAAATCCACAATATTTACTCTTGAGAATCTGAACTACACCTAGTAACTCTTCCTCCCTGTACACCTAGCTTCCAAACTGGCCCCTAATAACCTCTTTCTCCTGGCATTCATAATCTTAGATACCACACTGCCCCCCAATTGGTCTGTGTGGCTCACAATAGACGTATGATATTTCTATAAGGAGACTGTCGAATATTACAAATTCTGTCTTGCATGTTCCCTTTGACTTGTTCTCCTTCAGACTCCTCGCCCAAGGGAAGCCACACTGTGAACAGTCCTAAGGGAGAGGAACTGCCAGCAAAGGAGTTACCCTGCCAGCCCCAGTCCAGTCTTCTGAGACTGTGTCCTACACAGCTTGAGAGCAGCCTCCAGAGAGACCCCGAAGCAAATCATCAAGCCACGCCCCTCACAGTTTCCTGGCCCTCAGAAACTGCATAATAAATGTTTCTTGGTGTGTGTGTGTATGTGTGTGTGTGTACACATCTGTAATTATAGCAGTCCGTGTGTATGTGTATGTGTCTGTATGTTACACACCTGTAATTATAGCACTCCAGAGGCTAAGCCAGGAGGACCTCAAGTTTGAGGCCAACATAGGCTATTCAATGTGACTCTATTCAGGTCAATTCTAATGTCAGTTTTTTAAAATTTGTTTAAAAATGTATTATGACTGTGTCTGTGATTATATGGGTGTGGGCATGTAAGCCACAGCATGTATGTAAAGGTCAGAGGACAGCTTTGTGGCACTGGTCCCTCTTTCTACCTTACATAGGCTCCAGGGATTGAATTCTAGTCAACAGGTTTGCACAGAAAACTCACTGGCCCCTAAGGTCACTTTAGAGTTACTAAATTTTGGGGTAGTTCACTGTACAGAAATAGGTAAGTAATACATTTTCCCCACCCCTGATGTAGACAGCATGGAGTGCTAGGATTAGGCCTGGTTCTTCTGCATCTTCCATCAGGTGGTATTCTCCTGTTCTCTATTCTCCCCTTGAGGAATAGGTGCAAGCTGAGTTTCTATTTTAGATCAGCTACTGCTTGACACAGAAAAGGTGCTTAATTATCATAGAAATGAATGGGAGGGTGATACAGCTCTTCCCTTCATGCCTCTTTCCATCCCTCCATCTGTTCGCTAGCCTCAGAGAAACATGCATAGGCCAATGATAGGGTCAGATAACAGAGTTTAGGTCACAGGGATTTCTTTTATAAAGCTTCATTCACTCAACAATTTCAACCAAGCACCTCCTCAGTTTTAGGAGAAAAAAAACAACTTAGCAGTTACCACATGCCAGGTGCTTTCCCTGTGGTACCTGGTTGAGATGCATTTTTCACCATAGCTCTAAAACAGCACTAAAAAGAAAGCTTTATCTCCTTTTTGTTGCTCAGAAGGTCATACAGCTGGGAATTGGCACAACTGGGATTTTCTCCCGGGAAGCCATGCTAAAATATCCTCAGCTTAGAACGACCTCCCATTCCACTCACTGCCATGCCCATTCCTAGCTCCATGGTTTTTGCTGATGCAATCAATACCTGAGCAAACAATGCCCCCTTCAACATCTCTAAGTAGCTACATCTTTTCAGTCCTGTCAGGCCTAGTTACAATGCTGTTTTCTCCAAGAAACTTCTCTGGGTCTCCCAGAATCCCTTCTGGTTCTGAACACATTCTGTTTTGGAGATGACCATGCACCTATATGTCTTCTACTGTCTACCAGACTGGAAGATCCTGGAAAACATGGACCGGAGTTCAAGTCTCAGCCTAGTGTCCTCTACCTCACAGATCTGTTGTGAAGTATACAGAGTACCTGGCATCGAGCAGGTACTATCTGTCAGTAAACCCTTTATTTGCTATTATATCGAATTTCAAACAGTGGGAACCTTTTGTTTTCTTATTTGTTCTATATACTCATTTTTATTGCTTTATTGCACTTAAGGTGTGTGTGTGTGTGCACACGTACATGCACATGTGCATACGTGCAGGTGAGAGGAAAACGTTCAAGAATCATTTCTTAGGGCTGAAGAGAGCACTGGCTCATCTGTTGTTACTTTTCTAGCCCAAAGTTTCAAAGTCCTTCCACAATCCTCCCGAAAATATGGTCACATTTGTCACAGCAATATCCAATGAACCTTGTACCAATTTCTATTTTAGTTAGGGTTTCTATTGCTGTGATAAAACTATGAGCAAAAGCAACTTGTGGAGGAAAGGGTTTATTTCATTTTACATTGTGTCCATCATCCATGGAAGTCAGACCAGAAACTCGAGGCAGGAGCTAATGTAAAAGCCACGGAGGAGTGCTGCTTACTGGCTTGCTCCCCATGACTGGCTCAGATTTCTTTCTTTCTTCTTTCTTTCTTTCTTTCTCTCTTTCTTTCTTTCGTTCATTTGTTTGGTTTGGTTTAGTTTTTCAAGACAGGGTATCTCTGTATAGCCCTGGCTGTACTGGAACTCACTCTGTAGATCAGGCTGGCCTTGAACTCGGAGTTCCGCCTGCCTCTGCCTCCTGAGTGCTGGGACTAAAGGCATGCGCCACCACCTCCTGGCTCAACCTGCTTTTTTATAGTATCCAGGACCACCAGCCCAGGGGTGGCACAGCCTACTGTTAGCTGGGCCCTCCAATACCACTCATCAATCAAGGAAATGCCTCACTGGACGACGGTGCCATGGTGGTCCCACGGACCAATCTGATATGGGCATCTTCTCAACTAAGGTTTCGTCTTCTGAAATGACTCTGTCAAGTTGATATAAAACTAGCAGCACAACAGTTAAGAGCACTCATTAGTCTTTTACAGGACCCAAGTTCAGTTCCCAGTACCCATGGGTGGGTGGCTCACTATCATTCATAATTCCAGTTTCATGGGATCAGACACCCTCTTTTGAATGCGACAGGTATCAGGTGTGCACATGGTACACATACATACATGTAGGCAAAACACCCAAACATATAAAAGAAAATAAATAAATCTTTTTATAAATCTGTTTTTATGGACTGGAGAAATGGCTCAGTGATTGAGAATATATACCTGCTCTTGCAGAAGACTGGAATTTGGTTCCCAGTACCCATGCCAGATACCTCATAACCGTCTTTAACTCTAGCTCCAGGGAACCTGACATTCTTTGTTAGCCTCCTTGGGCAACTGTACACACCTGGCACACACGACAGATACACAAACATAAAAATAATCAAAATAAACGATCTGTTCTCTCCTTCCACAGTAGGGGTTCTGGAGACCAAATTTAGGGCAGCAAGCTTGGCAGCAAGCGCTTTCACCCGCTGAGCCATCTTATTGGAACCCATATCCTAACATGCTTGTTTTAGCAGCATAATTTTTTTTTCCCTAACAGTACTGGAGATGAAACACAGGACCTGGGACATGCCAGATAAGTGCTCCTACTACTGAATTACATCACTGCCTTAGGGGTTTTTGGTGTTTTGTTTTGTTTGTTTTTTTTAACATAGGTGCTCCTAGTCCTCCTGCCTCAGTTCTGCCAATGCTTCAATTACAGGTAAACACTCAGCTGTAATTTTTTCTCATGTTAACAATTCTCTCTCACCACTCTCAAAGTCTCAATTAAAATCACTGCTGTTTGTTGCTATTAAGTGCTCAGTAGTGCAAATTCTTGCAGTTTGGAAAATAGATAAAGAAGTAGGAGAAGCAGCCAGAGCCTGGGAATGGAGAAGAAAGGCCCCTTTCAGGGCTCCTGACCTGTTTGGAGAAGGAGTCCTCGAGCTCTGTGATGTCATTAGAAAACTCTCCAGATGTGGTGACTGAACTTCCACCACCATTGATGCCCCCACCACAGGAGCCTCCATAGGGGAGACCCCGGTCAAGCCGGTGGCTCCGGGCACCAGTCATGGCACCCTCGTCCAGTGAGGCAGGCTTGCCCTCGAAGTATGCAGGGTTCTGTGCTTTTTCGTACTCCTCAAAAGAGAACTGCATCCGCATGTTGGACAAGATGATGCGGCGGGACATGCGGCTCTCTGAAGCTGAGCTGCGCAGCCGCTCAAAGTTCTTATTCATACGATACTGGCGAAAAGCTGTCTGGATGGTCCTGGCAGCCCTGCGGCTCAGGAAGGAGCCCCCATACTTCCTCTCCAGCATTTCCACCTGTCAGAGGAACAAGTTTAGAAAGTTGCCAGAGCCTCATGGCCTTGGTCCTTAACCATACCCCGCTCAAGTCACAACTAACTGCTGGAAGAAGTCATGACAGGCTGTGCGCCCAGTGTTTTCTCACTTATAATCCCAAGGTGTATGTAATCACAGGGGAAAAAAGAAATGTATATTATTTGAAATCAGAAAAAGCTTAGAGAAACAAAAAAAATGAAAGAAAGGAAACAATAAATGAAAAGTAGGACGTTGAAGAAAGAAGAGAATCAGAGTAAGAGAAAAGCAGGATGGAAGGAAAGACAGGGCATGAGGGAGGGTTCACCTGCAGCCCAAACATCTAGGCATAGTCATAATTAACGTGTTGATAACTGCCCTTCCAGGCTCTATTTTTCTGAAATCTTGTATACTGTTCTCCCTTCCCTCCCTCCCTTTTCTCCCCACCCCAGCCCCTTCAGACAGTGTATTGCATCACACTGTGAAATTGCCAAGTTACGTGTGTGCCTCCCCACTTAGACTCCATGCCTTTGAAGGCTGGATGCAGGTCGCATTCATCTTTTGGACCCCATTATTGGAGCGCAATAATGTCTGCTAAGTGAAGAGAAGACTCAGTGTATGTGCAGTGAATGTGAATGACAGGTCCTGGAGCCAGTCTTCTCCAGGCCCAACCTTACTGTTCCTCCCTGAATACCACCCTCAAGTACCACACCCCAACCCCCCTCCTTCAGCTCTCTCTGTATCCCACTCCCATTTTCAACCGGAGCATCTCTTCTGCACCTTCTTGTCCTGCAGATCTGTGGAGAGTTCATAGCTGTCTGACAAGGCCTTGGAGCGCTTTATCTCCTCCTCCTCTTGCTTCCTCAGGGCGACACTGGCTGGCTGGAGGCGTGCCCTCTGAGCCCAAGGAAGGCCCACCCCAGCAGGGGGGCCTCCCATGTGGCTGCTGGTGGGGGGTAGCTGGCTCAGCCGGTAAGGGGGTTGGCTCCCAGGACTATCAACCGCTGTGCTCAGGTCACTGCCTGGGGCATCATCCTCCACACTGTGGGGATGAGATAAAATGAGCCAGGATGCGGCAACAGGAGAGAGGCTTGCTAGGCCCAACTGAGCAAGTACACTAGATCTTGCCCCAACCCCACCTTCTCCCATTTCCTTAGATACCTAGGGACCCGAACATTTAAGAGACCTTCAGTTCCTTTCCTTTAGAGCCCCGTCTCCATAACTTCGTTCTGAGACACCATTCCCTGAAGGGGTTTTCTCAGTTTGTTCTCAGGCCTAACCAGACTCCTCACAATTTGGTCCAGTCACAACCCTACACCTAGTCTCCTCCCGCTCCTGTCCCTAGTAGCTCCAATCTCAAATCTTCCCTCTCCTGACAGCCTAGTTGCTCCCTCCCTAGACCTCTTCTCCTCCCAGCTCTAGCCCCTCCTAACCCCATGCAGTGATTTCCCAGAACTACCCAGACCAGTTTCCTTGACATATAGCCCCCTTCCAGCCCTCTTTGATGATTCCTGTACCCTGCCCATCCAGGTTATCTCCTCCCCCACCCAGCCCTGCCCCTGTGCCCTGCCCCTGCCCTTAGCAGCCTGGAGTCCAGGCCTGGCCAGTTCCCAGGGTTCCCAGGCTGCTGCTGGTGCTGCGGCTGCTGTTACTGCTGCTGTTACTGCTGCTGCTGCTGGTGAGAGGGCAGGGTGAAGGCACAGGCTGGGCCACAGTGGGAAGTGCCTCCCATTCAGCATTCTCACAGGTAAAGAGCTGCCCTGTGGGGAAGCTTCCTTTTTCTCCTCATGTCCTCCTCTGCTCAGCTCGGGGAGGAGGGCAGGGGGTTCTCAAGCAGAAAGGTGGCTGGAGCTGGGTCCCAGGTCTTGCCTGCTGGGGTTACCTAGAGCTGTTGTTCTGCCAGACCTGCTCCCACAGTGCCATGGCAACCAGGCTGCCAAGGAACCCAGGTGGCGGCAGAGCTCCAGAGCATGGTGAAGAGCACAGAGGTGGGGAGAACCAGGAAGGCTGAGGGGTGGAGGAGGTTGTGGGAGAATGGGTGTGGCTGGGCTAAAAGAATGATCTTTTTTTTTTTTAATCTGAGGAAAGTATTATAGGCTGTAGAAGCTCCTGGCTAGTAAAACGATTAAAGGGCCTCTCCTCAGCCTCTCTTGGCAGAGGTCAGGGTGCAAGGCTAGGGCAAGTTGGCTAGGTGGAACTGGTTACCTACTAGCACAAGATCTTGAGCTGTCTGGGGCCTGCCAGCTCCCTGTGCTTCAGGTCAGGGCAGCAGAGCTGGGCTCGGCCCTGGTGGGAACTCTCGCTCACTGTCATCCTCCACCCTCCCAAGTACTAGTCAGAACAAGGACTGCTTTCCACTCCAAGTTCTCCTTCCTCTCAAACCCCGGAGACCCCTGATGCCACCCTCCACTAGTCAGACCCAACCCAGTATCATAGATACTCCTCCTGTCTCTCTCAGGATGGCAGGATCCCACTCACCAACTTCTCAAACCTCTCCCTTACCAGTACACACTTCAAACCCAGCTTTGTTCGACCACCTCCTCTATCCACAAAACATCCACAGTTTTCACTGTCTATGAGTTAGTAGTCCAATTCCCAATCACTCTGGCATTGAAGCCCTCTCCAAGGTTCAACAGACGATGAATGCTTCTAGAATACTTAGTATTTAGGTTCTCACCACTTCATACTCAGTATGGTTGTTCCTTCTAACAATCCTATAAAGTTGTTATTTGTCTTCATTTTATATAGAAAACAAAGCCCGGTGAGGATAGCTACCAACAATACAAGCAGGATTCAAATCCAAGTGGCATGACTTCAGAGTTCACATTCTCTGTAGCCCATGCTGGTCTCGTACTCACAGAGATCCGCCTGCCTCTGCCTCCCATGTGTGGGGATCAAAGGCGTGCGCCACCACCGCCCGGCTGTTCACGCTCTCAGTCATTAAGCCGCCCCTCATCTAATCCACCCAGGCCCAGATTCTGTTTTTCTCAAATGTTCCTCAGCCCCTTACCTCCCAAACTGCTCATATACTATCTTCCACTCCCAAGGCCATCCCCATCATTTCTGCTAGTGCAATCTGAGAAATGCCCCACATGCTAGTTCTGTTAAGATTCAAGTTATGAATCTACTGAGATGCCACCTGCATCTTGCCACTAGCCAGAAATGACCACTGACCTTGACCTCACTCAAAGCCCCTACCTTTGCACGGGACACAGACTGCTGGCACAGATTAGCTTTGGCAAAGAGTGCACGACTCTCAGCATAGGAAGAAAATTTGGTAAATTCCTATCTGGCTGGCAAAGGGTATGGAACCTAGACCAGAGAAGGTGTTTCTGGTATGAGGGAATCAGTGAATGAGTACTCTTGGCGGCTGCTCCAATAAGACTCTCACTCGAATCTATACCACACACTCCAGTCTTATTTGCAAATCTGTTCTCTAACCTGTGGAGAGTGAGAACCATAGAAACATACAAATTAGCCCATCTTGCTTTCTCATCAAACCCTGCCACAGCTCCCTATAATTCACTCAATAAACAATAACCAAGCACTTTCCACGTGTTGTGCACAGCACTAAGCACTGGAAATCAATTAAAAAGCAAAGCCATCAAATTATTTCTTCAGGATGGTAATATTATAGTGAGGAAAACAGACAAAAGGAAGGAAGGAAGGGAGGGAGGGAGGCAGGGGAAGAAAGGGAGGGAGGGAGGGAGGAAGAAAGGGAGGGAAGGAAGGAAGAAGCAAATCTTTATCATTTCAAGTAGAGCTATGTGTTAAAGATGGACAATAAAGCAGAGTATAAAAAGGTGCTATTTTGCTGGGTGGTGGTGACACATGTCTTTAATCCCAGCACTAGGGAGGCAGAGGTGGATCTCTGTGAGTTCGAGGTCAGCCTGGTCTACAGCGCGAGTTCCAGGACATCCAGAACTATTACACAGAGAAACCCTGTCTCAACAAACTACTAAAAAAAAAAGAGGTGCTGTTTTAATCATGTGTGCATGTGTGTAAAAGAGAAAGAGAGTGATTCAGACAGAGACACAAAGACACAGCAGAGACAGGCTAGGGATAGAACTCAGCGAATTACGCAGGTCCAGTAAACTCTTTCCACTGAGCCATAAACCCAGTCAAATGTGTTATTTTAGATGTGGTGTCCAGGAAAGCCCAGGGTAGAGGGAATGCCATAGAAGCAGAACAGTGATGGAGACGAGGGAGTGAGCTGTGTCACTGTCTTAGGCAAGAGAGTAGTCAGTACAACATGTCTACACGCTTAAAGATCAACAAAAAAGACAGTATTGCCAGAACACAGTGAACAAGACAGTAATGAGAGATCTAAGACGGGCGGTGAGAATTGTACTACTTAGTTTTTGTCAGCTTGACACAAGAAAAGAGTCACCTGGAAACGGGGAGCTTCAGCTGAGGATTTGCCCTTATCAGACTGGCGTGTGGGCATATATGTGGGCATTTTCTTGGTTGATGACTGATGTGGGAGAACTTAGCCCACTGTGGATGGTGCCACCCTGGGCAGGTGGTCCTGGGGTGTATAAGAGAGCAGGCAGAGCAAGCCATGGACAGCAAGCCAGTTTCTGTTTCAGGTCCTGCCTCCAGGTTTCTGCCCCGAGGTCCTGCTCTGACTTGAAGACTCAATAATGGACTGTTGCCTGGAAGTCTATGAGGAAATAAACCCTGTTCTCCCCAAGTTGCTTGTGCTTTGTGTTTTATTATAGCAACAAAAAGCAAAATAATACAAGGGACATTGAGCCTATCATAAAGATTTTGGCTTTTGATCTGATTGAGATGAACACAGAAAGGATGGAACCTAACTTATCATCAATAGAATAACCTCCATCTTCCTTACTTGGCCTGAGCTGTATACCACACCTAAACCTGGCTACCTTCTGCTCACGCTTCAGTATTTAGCTCAGGTGTGCCCTTCCACACCAGCTTTCCTCCTTCACACAGGTTACCTTACAGACATGCCCCCTCCTTCATGGTACTGCAGGGCTCTGCAGCCATCTCTGCCCCCCTGCGACAGCCACTGTTAGCCCCTTTCATAGTGCAGAAAGGTAGAGTTGATATAACTGTAACTCACGGTCATACATAGCTACTAAGAAGGCCAGAATGCAAACTCAGAGATCAGACTGCCCTCTAATGATATTTCAGTGCCTCTCCTACTCCCAGCCCTGTGCTGCTCCAGGCTCTCTGCTCCGTGGTAATTCCTCTCTTGAGAACTAGCCCCATTTTGATTACAAAGGGAACAGTGGCAGGAGTCGTGGGGTGGCAGCGCAGCTTCCCATTGGAGAGACTGGCCAAAAAAATGAAAATTGCTTGAAGGGTTGCTCCTGCTATCATCCATACTGCTGAAGAATCTGGAGGTGTGGAATCCCTCAAGCCAGAGCCCCTAAACACTAAAACACTTTAGTGACATGCCAATCACCTGAAAACTGCCCCCATACACAACACACACACATACACACACACACGGATAAGTATAACATCACAGACACATCCATAGGCACACGGAAGTAGACATGAATACATGTAGACACAAACACACACTGCCTGCTGGTCTGTTCTGTAGGGGGAAATGAGAGCATTCTTTGCAGAGGGGAAGAATAAGCCATGTTACACAAATAACCACAGAACAAAGTGGAAAGTTATCAAGGCTGGGGAATACAGGAAGTGATGGGGGAGTAAAGGAGAGAGATTCCTTCTACTTGGGGGTGGCTGAGCAGAATAAAAATAAACTAGCACTTAACTATGCACCTACCGTGTGTCAGGCATTTTCCACACATTATTTAATCTGCATGGCAAACACAAGGGGAGAATTAGGATTCCTGTTTTACAGAGGAAGAAAACAGCTCTAAGAAGGAAACTAACTGACAAAGGTCACAGAGCTAGTAATGGCAGGATGCGGATTCAGACCCAAAGCCTGGGCTGGCCCTCCTGCTGTCTTGAAGTCTTCCTGGGAGAGGAAGCTCATGGACTGTGCTTTGCCTAAGAGGAACTAGGAGAGATGAAAGTAAGGGAATTTTGTAAGTCAAGGCT